AGAGAGAGGGGTGGGTTGACTGCATTTTCTATGACTGCAAGAAGGCCTTCGACACAGTTCCTCACAAGAAATTAGTGTAGAAGCTAGACGGTCAGGCGCATATAACAGGAAGGGAACTGCAATGGATCAGAGACTACCTGACAGGGAGGAAACAACAAGTCATGGTACGTGATGAGGTATCACAGTGGGCACCTGTGACGAGCAGAGTCCCACAGGGGTCGGTCCTAGGACCAGTGCTATTATTGGTATATGTGAATGACATGTTCGAAGGTATAGACTCAGAAGTGTCCCTGTTCCCAGATGATGTGAGGTTAATGAGAGGAATTAAATCAGATGAGGATCAGGCAGGGCTTCCAAGAGACCTGGATAGACTTAACACCTGGTCTGGCAACTGGCTTCTCGAATTTAACCCCGCCAAATGCAAAGTCATGAAGATCGGGGACGGGCAAAGAAGACCCCAGAAAGAGTATGGGCTAGGTGGTCAAAGGCTGCAAACCTCGCTCAAGGAGAAAGATCTTGAGATGAGTATAACACCGAGCACGTCTCCGGAAGCACACATCAACCAGATAACTGCTGCAGTATATGGGCGCCTGGCAAACCTGAAAATAACGTTCTCATACCAGTTTGGAACCCACAGCGGGTCAAGCACGTCAAGAAATTAGATAGAGTGCAAAGGTTTGCGACAAGGTTAGTTCCAGACCTAAGGGAAATGCCCTATGAGGAAAGGTTAAGGAAAATCGGTCTGACGACACTGAAGGACAGGAGGGTTAGGGGAGACATGATAACGACATACAAAATACTGTGTGGAATAGACAAGGTGGACAGAGATAGGATGTTCCAGAGATGGGACACAGAAACAAGGGTCACACTTGGAAGTTGAAGACTCAGATGAGTCAAAGGGATGTTAGGAAATATTTCTTCAGTTATAGAGAAGTCAGGAAATGGAATAGTCTAGCATGTGATGTAGTGGAGCCAAGAACCATACATAGCTTTAAAACGAGGTATGTTATAGCTCATGGAGCAGGGAGTGAGAGGACCAAGTAGCATTCAGTGAAGAGGCGGGGCCAGGAGCTGAGTCTCGACCCCTGCATCCACACTTACGTGAGTACACACGCACACTTACAATATGCTGTAGAATCCCACAGCACACTACCAGGCCCCCACCCCCACAGACCCCCCAGAACACGGTATTGGAGAGGAAACTGAAGGTATGGTACACCAACGCTGATGGAATAACTAATAAGTGGGAGGAGTGACACGAGAGAATCAAAGAGGCATCACCGGATATCATAGCTCTCATCCAAACCAAGCCACAGGAATGATAACAGATGCCATCTTTCAACGGGATATCAGATCCTGAGGTAAGACAGAGGGAACAGAGGGGGTAGAGGAGTGGCACTGCTCATCAAAAACCAATAGGATTTTGATGACCTGGAGAGAGAAGGCAAAAGAGAAGCAAGAGACTCCATAATATGAACACTTCAGTCTGGAGGTTCTAAGGTGATAATTGCAGTGATGTATAACCCACCACAGAACAGCAGGAGGCCAAGACAAGAATACGATGAGAGCAACAGCACAATGGTTGACACGCTGGCTGATGTGGCCAGAAGGGCAGGCAGGGCAAAACTACTAGCTGTGAAATTGACTGGGAAAACCTGGAGCCATATGGGGGATTCAGAAACGTGGAGGGCTAAGATGATGGAGCTATTACTGGAAAGCCTCGTGCATCAACACGTTACGGACACTACCAGAAAGAGAGGAGAGGATGAACCAGCATGACTGGGCCTAGTAATCACATTGAGTAGTTCAGACATTGAGGACATCACATATGAAACGTCCCTCGGAGATAGTGATCACATGGTCCAAAGATTCGAATACGTAGTAGAGTTACAAGTGGATAGAAGCTGATAGAGCGGGATGGGAGAAGTCGAACTACAACAGAGGGGGCTACACAGGCATGAAGAATTTCCTGCATAAGGTTTAGTAAGAAAGAGAACTGGCGGGAAAATCAGTAAATGAAATGATGGAATACGTGACAGCAAAATGCAAGGAAGCAGAGAAGACGTTCGTACAGAAGATTAATAGAAGTAATGGGAAGGCCAGGACGAGCCTTGATTCACCCGAGGGTGTAGAGAAGCCAAAACTAAGTGCACTAGACAATGGAAAAAGTATAGAAATCCAAAGATTAAGGAAAATAAGGAGATCAGTCGAAGAGCCAGAATCGAATATGCACAGATAAGGGGGGAGGCCCAGTAGCAATACGAAAAAGACATAGCAGCAAAAGCCAAATCTGAACCAAAGCTGTTGTAGTCTCATTAGGAGGAAAACAACAGTCAAGAACCAGGTAATCAGACTGAGGAAAGAAAGAGGTGAGATCACAAGAAACGACCGAGAAATATGTGAAGAGCTTAATATGAAATTTAAAGGGGTATGAACAGTGGAGACAGAAAAGACTGCAAAAAGCTTTAGTGGTGGGGCGCACCAACAAGTGCTGGACACAATAAATGCAACTTAGGAAGTGAAAAGGCTACTAGGTGAACTAGATACCTGGGTCCTGAGAGCGGGAGCAGAGGCACTGTGTGTGCCACTAACAACAATCTTCAACACATCTTTTAAAACAGGGCACCTAAATTAGGTGTGGAAGACAGCAAATGCAGTCCTAATCTTCAAGAAAGGAGATAGACACGTGTCATTAAACTACAGAGCAGTGTCACTGACAGTTATAGTATGTAAAGTCATAGATAAGATTATCAGGAGAGTGGTGGCGCACCTACAAAGGAATAAGCTTATACACGACAACCAGCACGGTTTCAGGGAAGGGAAGTACTGTGTCACAAACTTACTGGAGTTTTACGACATAGTGACAGAAGCAAGACAGGAGAGAGAAGGATGGGTGAATTGCATTATTTTGGACTGTAAGAAGTCTTTCGGCACAGTACCACACAAGAGATTAGCGCAAAAGCTAGAGGAGCATGCAGGAATAATAGGAAAAGGTCTGCAATGGATCAGAGAATACCTGACAGGTATGATAGGTATGTTATGATACGTGACGAGGTGTCAAGGTGGGCACCTGTGACGAGCGGGGTTCCACAAGGGTCCGTGCTGTTTATGGTATATGTGAATGACATGAGGGAAGGGATAGAGTCAGAAGTGTCCCTGTTTGCAGGCAATGTGGAGCTAATTCGGAGAATTCAAATGGATGAAGATCATGTAGGACTACAAGGGAATCTGAACAGCCTGCAAGCCTGGTCCAACAACTGTCTCTTGGAGTATAGTCCCAGCAAGTGCAAAGTCATGAAGATTAGTGTAGGTCAAAGAAGACCGCAGACAGAGTACAGGTTATTCTTAAAGATGCCTGGCGTGCATTTGTTGCAGCAGTTATTTGGTGGATGTGCGCCTCAAGGGATACGCTAGGTATATTAAAGGCCCCCAATGGAAATAAGTCATTTTGTCTATGTAACTGTATTTGTGTATATCTGAAAAAACTAACATACTTAATATTCACCCCAGAGTTCTTCGTCTTTTCAAATTTGCACGTACCTAAAAAAAATTCAATAAAAAATACTTCGAGTTAAGATATACTGGCGACTAGTGTTTTGCACCAGGAAGAAGAGATAATATTTATTTTTTACATGGAAACCAATTTGTTTAATGAAATTTGAAATTTAAAATTTACGTAGCTCAAAGGGAGAGCGAAGTTTTCATTTTATAACGTCCATCTACATAGAAAGTTTAAAGCTTATAAAAAGACATTATCTAATATTTATTCTGATTCCAACGATTTAAAGTTTTTTTTAACAATTTCAGTAAAATTTCAAATTTTTAACATCACAGTTAAGACATACAGAGCATCTTCCCCCTCCTGCTGGTCCTCCTCCTGCTGGTCCTCCTCCTGCTGGTCCTCCTCCTGCTGGTCCTCCTCCTGCTGGTCCTCCTCCTACTGGTCCTCCTCCTACTGGTCCTCTTCCTGCTGGTCCTCCTCCTGCTGGTCCTCCTCCTGCTGGTCCTCCTCCTGCTGGTCCTCCTCCTACTGGTCCTCCTCCTACTGGTCCTCTTCCTGCTGGTCCTCCTCCTCGTCCTGTCCTCGTCCTCTCCTCGTCCTCTCCTCCTCCTCCTCCCTCCTCCTCCCTCCTCCTCCTCCTCCTCCTCCTCCTCCTCCTCCTCCTCCTCCTCCTCCTCCTCCTCCTCCTCCTCCTCCTCCTCCTCCTCCTCGTGAGATACACCAGCCAAATGTAAATCAGTATCGCTATTTATTAAAACTTTCAAATTTGTACTTTTGTAACTCAGCCACAAGACAAGTCATACCTTCAAGAAAACACAAAAGGAATAAAAACTGTAATCCCATCAGAAGATACATTCTCCAGTTATCGCACAGACTACAACGATATCATTTTTTAACTAATTTAGTCTACTGACAAATTTGCTGGCACACAAACTGATTTCAAGCGGGTTCTATATTATTCATGAGATGTATCAGGTGCTAAATGTCGAAACTATTAAGAAGAGATTCATTCAAATATGTTTTATGTGATTTAATGAGAACAAAAATTCCACACTATTTTACACATAATTGGGAAATGTTGAACTACACACATGATTTTTATGATTCCGAATTAGGAAGCATTTTTTTAACGGTTGAAGCCAAGCAGTTGGGGGTGAGGAAGTTATCACAGCTATTAAAAGAACATTAGTCGTAGGGCATCCGCATATGCCAGTTGCTTCCAGAATCTTGTTCTATTTACCTTACTCCAGTGTTGAAAATTTAAAGGCAATTGGGTGAGGCATTCTCGTGTCCTCAGAGAAATAAAACGAAGAGATAGAAGAGGAAGTAGAAAAACAGGCAACATGTTAATGATCCTTCTTCTTGGGGTATTTAATTAAATTTCCTTCATATTAATATTATCCAGTACTTCCCTTTGTGATATCCACTCCTATATTAATAATACTTTTTTTCACTAAACGTATACCTGGGAAAAATAAAACCTGAATATTTCTAACAGAATTCGACGAAAACCTGTGAGTTGCTGAATACCACCCTGTGTGACGGAGACGCCGTTGACCTCTTGAACTCTCCTGGCTGGAACTACTATGACCTACAAGATTCCCAAGATCAGGTATGTAACTCTGTATGCAGAGTCACCTAGTAAGAGCAAAGGGACAAGATCAAGAAAAAGTTAAAAGAGTGTGAGGCATGAGAGAGAACAGAGACACAGTTTAGAAGTATTGCGATTACAAAGACTTACTTGTTGGTTCTTCATATGGGAAATTTCGCAAAACAACCATAGGAGAGGGGAGTTCAATGATAGCTCTAGGTCTTTCGTGTTCCAGCAATACACTTTTTCAAAATGAATTAATGTGTTTGCCAAATGTCCTAAAAGAATTTAACTTACAAGTAGTTTATAAGAATTCTTGGACTGTTAAAAGGATGTTGACCAAGAATTCCCCCAAAACTGTGTTAGTGGTGTTTTGCAGGGTCGGGAGTAATGGGCTGCAATTTATATTATATAGAGCATACTGGCAAACCTCTTGATGTCAGGTTAGCACCACAACACTGGTACTTAATCTGAACTGCTTGAGAATCCAATGCCACATTTAACCACACAGGCTTGCAATAACCCTGGAAAACGGTCTGAAGGCAGAATTCTATATCCCAGTTCTTCTCGGCTACAAGAAAATATTTCAGAAATATCAGTTATAAAACATGATAACCTTTTGTTATATAATAGTAGCTAAAGACTGCTCAAACTTGACTCATTATTGAAGATGCTTTACATAACCTTAAGCCGGATTCTTATAGAAATGCTCCTTACTGTCTTAAATGTCGTAATTCAACACAAATAAACTGAGGTTAACTTAGGCACAAAAAAATTATGCTTTGGTTTCTGCTTGTCTGTCTTCTCTTTGTGTGCTGAACAGTTGTGTTCGATTTTTTCATCATTTATAGACACAGTACCTTAAACCTCTGACTTAAGGATTCCCACTCGTTCTTATGTTACTGCCCACCATCCATTATTTCATTTCCCATTTTTCTGGATAGATAGCAATTACTAAGCAATATCTATTTATTTTTTTTTTGTCTGCAGGCTTAGATCAAACTGACTAATGACCTGGAAACCCATATAGATGAATATTTCGTTGGTAATTGGAAAACACATATTGGAAAAAATCCAATTGCTGTGAAAATTTTCATAACAATGAATAAGATTTCCCACAAATAACAGAAAAGTACATTCACAAGTTTATAATATATATATACAAATTCCAAACTGAAAGTAAGTCTAAATTTGCAAAAAAAAAAAAAATCGAGTAGGTACCCCATCGCAAACTACTGTTAGATACGACCGAGCATGGTAGAGGAGAAACTTTATGCCTCGATGAATGACTGTTTCACAAATAGGAAACAGTAGCAAAAAGTAAAGAGTGGAGTTCCTCAGGGATCGATTTTTGGTTCCATTCATTTTCGGTGTTCATAAATTATCTTGAGATAGGGCAAACATCTACTGCAAGATGACAAAATATGTGGATAACAAACTTGAAAAAAAATCTAGCATTCACAGTAAACTGAGTTTTCAGAGTGATCGTGACAATTTAGCACAGTGGTCCATGACTTTAAAAATGAGTGTTAATGTTGACTAGGGCAAAGTAAAACATTTTAAGATATAAAGAATAAAAGGCACAATACCGTGACTGGAACAATAAACAAACAACCGGCACATAGGAGACATGAGCTCAAGACGTTTCTGTCAGATTTGGACCATCATCTAGTTGTCACAAGTTACAGTCTCCTATGTGCGAGTTATAATAATGTCCAACATTATAAAATGCTCACTAACAAACTATCCAAAAACATTGACGGAAATTACCATGGAGTAATCAAAAGCAACATCAAGAGTACCGATCAGTGCCATTATGAGATCAGCAAAACAAGTGTTTCAAGGCTAGAAATTTTTAATATCACACTGGTGAGGGTGCAGAGATGGGTAACCAGTGAGAGAGAGAGAGAGAGAGAGAGAGAGAGAGAGAGAGAGAGAGAGAGAGAGAGAGAGAGAGAGAGAGAGAGAGAGAGAGAGAGAATCACAGTCTCTGAAGAAAGATTCTCAAAGCACTTAACTCTTTTCTCTCGTAGAAAACTGAGGACACGAAAAGATTTCATTCAGGCCTTAATATATTGAATAGATTTGGTATACTCAAAACATGAAAATTGATTTAAATTGCAAATGAGATATAAACTCTAAACAATGAAACAATAATTCGAGGCAGGAGATACAACACGAATGTATGAGAGATATAACAAAAATATATTGTAGATTAGAACAAACGTCCCGCTAAAAGCTGTTGGGGCGATGAAAAAGCAGTCTTGCAAGCATGCGTTTTAGGTAGATCCTGTGCTGGGGGATCCTGAAATTAACGGATTCCTAATAAATGTTAGGCAACTACATCATGACGATCAGCAATGAACCACTCAAGTTAATACAGTTTTAGAATAGGATTTAGTGATAGGTACTGTAGAAGTCCTAGCAGTGGACCACGTCTACTACACCATAAAGAAGTAAAACTAGCAGTAACTAGAAGTGTCACAAAGGTTTCAACTAGGAGTTCAACCACTGATAACACAGCTGTGTGAGTGATGGTGGAAAAATATGAGTAGTAACTGTAGGAACAATAATTTGTGTGGACCTCCTTGTGTGAGCCTCCTTGTGTGAGCCTCCTTGTGTGGACCTCCTTGTGTGAGCCTCCTTGTGTGGACCTCCTTGTGTGAGCCTCCTTGTGTGGACCTCCTTGTGTGGGCTTCCTTGTGTGAGCCTCCTTGTGTGAGCCTCCTTGTGTGGGCTTCCTTGAGTGGGCCTCCTTGTGTGAGCCTCCTTGTGTGAGCCTCCTTGTGTGGGCTTCCTTGTGTGGGCCTCCGTGTGTGTGCCTCATTGTGTGGGCTTCCTTGTGTGGGCTTCCTTGTGTGGGCCTCCTTGTGTGGACCTCCTTGTGTGGGCCTCCTTGTGTGAGCCTCCTTGTGTGGACCTCCTTGTGTGGGCTTCCTTGTGTGGACCTCCTTGTGTGGGCCTCCTTGTGTGAGCCTCCTTGTGTGGACCTCCTTGTGTGGGCTTCCTTGTGTGGGCTTCCTTGTGTGGGCCTCCTTGTGTGGGCCTCCTTGTGTGGGCATCCTTGTGTGGGCTTCCTTGTGTGAGCCTCCTTGTGTGAGCCTCCTTGTGTGAGCCTCCTTGTGTGGGCTTCCTTGTGTGAGCCTCCTTGTGTGGGCCTCCTTGTGTGGGCTTCCTTGTGTGGGCTTCCTTGTGTGGGCTTCCTTGTGTGGGCTTCCTTGTGTGGGCCTCCTTGTGTGGGCCTCCTTGTGTGGACCTCCTTGTGTGGGCTTCCTTGTGTGAGCCTCCTTGTGTGGGCTTCCTTGTGTGAGCCTCCTTGTGTGAGCCTCCTTGTGTGGGCTTCCTCGTGTGAGCCTTCTTGTGTGAGCCTCCTTGTGTGGGCCTCCTTGTGAGGGCTTCCATGTGTGGGCCTCCATGTGTGAGCCCAATTGTGTGGGCCTCCTTGTGTGGGCTTTAACGTGTGGGCCTCCTTGTATGGGCTTCCTTGTGTGGACCTTCTTGTGTGAGCCTCTTTGTGTGGGCCTCCTTGTGTGGGCTTCCTTGTATGGACCTCCTTGTGTGGGTTTCCATGTGTGGGCCTCCTTGTGTGAGCCTCCTTGTGTGAGCCTCCTTGTGTGGGCCTCCTTGTGTGGGCTTCCTTGTGTAGGCCTCCTTGTGTGGGCTTCCTTGTGTGGGCCTCCTTGTGTGGGCTTAATTGTGTGAGCCTCCTTGTGTGGGCCTCCTTTTGTGGACCTCCTTGAGTGGGCCTCCTTGTGTGAGCCTCCTTGTGTGGGCCTCCTTGTGTGGGCTTCCATGTGTGGGCCTCCTTGTGTGGGCTTCCTTGTGTGGACCTCCTTGTGTGGGCTTCCTTGTGTGGGCCTCCTTGTGTGAGCTTCCTTGTGTGGACCTCCTTGTGTGGGCCTCCTTGTGTGGGCCTCCTTGTGTGGGCTTCCTTGTTTGAGCTTCCTTGTGTGAGCCTCCTTGTGTGGGCCTCCTTGTGTGGACTTCCTTGTTTGGACCTCCTTGTGTGAGCCTCCTTGTGTGGGCTTCCTTGTGTGGGCCTCCTTGTATGGGCTTCCTTTTGTGAGCCTCCTTGTGTGGGCTTCCTTGTGTGGACCTCCTCGTGTGAGCCTCCTTGTGTGGATCTCCTTGTGTGAGCCTCCTTGTGTGGGCTTCCATGTGTGGGCCTCCTTGTGTGGGCTTCCTTGTGTGGACCTCCTTGTGTGGGCTTCCTTGTGTGGGCCTCCTTGTGTGGGCTTCCTTGTGTGGATCTCCTTGTGTGGGCCTCCTTGTGTGGGCCTCCTTGTGTGGGCTTCCTTGTTTGAGCTTCCTTGTGTGAGCCTCCTTGTGTGGGCCTCCTTGCGTGGACTTCCTTGTTTGGACCTCCTTGTGTGAGCCTCCTTGTGTGGGCTTCCTTGTGTGGGCCTCCTTGTATGGGCTTCCTTTTGTGAGCCTCCTTGTGTGGGCTTCCTTGTGTGGACCTCCTCGTGTGAGCCTCCTTGTGTGGAGCTCCTTGTGTGAGCCTCCTTGTGTGGGCTTCCTTGTGTGGACCTTTTTGTGTGGGCTTCCTTGTGTTGGCCTCCTTGTGTGGGCTTCCTTGTGTGGGCCTCCTTCTTTGGGCTTCCTTGTGTGGACCTTCTTGTGTGGGCCTACTTGTGTGGACCTGCTTGTGTGAGCCTCCTTGTGTGGGCTTCCATGTGTGGGCCTCCTTGTGTGAGCCACCTTGTGTGGGCCTCCTTGTGTGGGCTTCCTTGTGTGGACCTCCTTGTGTGGGCTTCCTTGTGTGAGCCTCCTTGTGTGAGCCTCCTTGTGAGGGCTTCCTTGTGTGAGCCTTCTTGTGTGAGCCTCCTTGTGTGGGCCTCCTTGTGAGGGCTTCCATGTGTGGGCCTCCTTGTATGAGCCTAATTGTGTGGGCCTCCTTGTGTGGGCTTCAATGTGTGGGCCTCCTTGTATGGGCTTCCTTGTGTGGACCTTCTTGTGTGAGCCTCCATGTGTGGGCCTCCTTGTGTGGCTTCCTTGTGTGGACCTCCTTGTTTGGGTTT